CTCGCGGGGAGAGCGGCTCTGGTGGTCCCGCGTCGCTTAGCCGTCCGCGGGCCGGTTCACTGGGCGACGTGAACCCCGGTTCTGTGCATTCCCCTGAGGGGATTGCTCCTGCTCCGCAGCTGAAGTTGTGGGTGGCGTCCGCCCCGTATGCGTGTAAGCAGTGTTTGCTTGCCCTCCCTCATTGTCTAGGACTAAAGAGCATTCCTGTGTCTTTCTCTTTTTAATGGTCTGCATAAAAGTGTCCATTGAGAATGGAATTCCCTTTTCCACTAAGCAGGGGATCCGGGGACCAAAGGCAATTTATTTGAAGAGGAGGAAGGTAACCCGGACAGAGATTGTAAAAGGGATTTGTAATCAAAAAGTATACGTTATCATACTTTTCTTGTTGGTTTTACCTATCCTGCACTTTGATAAAAAGTATTTTTTCCCTCATACCATACATTCCACGTGAACAGCTGTCTTCATGTACTTCTGTTGTGGTGAGGGAAAGCGTCTGCTGGTGACTTTCTTCTCAAGCAGCTGATGTAATTCCAAGAGAGGAAAGCTGTGGATAACTTTCCTGTCTTATCTCCTGCAGTCTTTGAGTTGTTGTAAGAGGCAGAAAAGTGCTAACGGAAGTACATTAAAGTGATTTCATTTTGCTGCTAGTGTGGTATCTCTATTAATATTGAACGGAAGCTGTCTTAGTTTACTCCTTTTCAAACTTAGGTCCATGGTCTTCATTCCTGTGGATCTACAGGATACTACGGGGGGGGAGAGAAGAAAGATGTCTGATAATTAACTAGGAAAAGCAAACCAATTGCCAGTCATGAATTTGCTGTGCTGAAATCTGGTCTTCCTCTGGAATATTTATTGGACGTTTGCAAACAGAAGAATTTTGGAGAAACAAAACAAAACACTGCTTTGGCTTCCGGAGCATTTAAGTTATTCACACTAAGCTTCTACGAAATTTGGCCAGAGTACTACCAGTTCCAATTCTGTGTTCATTACATTGTATTTGTAGGGTATCCATTCTGCATTTAACTGTGACTGTAATTTGCTTCCAAATTTAGCTTTATTTGCAATTGAGTATTACAGGGAAGATGCTCAGATGTTAGCTCAGTCGTTTTTTATCATTCTGGTTCATACAGTCTATTTGACTTCTACAATAGTAGTCCTAAATCTTAAAGCAAGAACACTTGTGCTTTTGAATATTTTCTTCCTGTTCTTATTGCCTGCTTGCAGCCATGCTTAAGAATCTCGGGAACAGAGGGAGATGGAGAGCTTGGAAACATAGCATTAATGTGTTTTTCTGTGGTACTGGGTGAAGTTAGATAGTGAAGTGTGGACAAGTTGCACTTTTTTTTTTGATATCTGAAGGCTACTTCTCATCCCTCCCCCAGTATTTTGTCCAAAACAGTCACTATCATGAACCACTATGAACAGATACACAACCAGCCAAGATGTAGGAAGGGACATTTAAAAAAAAAAAAAACAACAGACTTTTACATCTAGACAGAATTGAAGTGCAATTATATGAGGTAAACATAATGTAAATGGTCTGTTTTTCTTGATTGGTGACTAAATTAAAGACAGATATTAAAAAAATACCATAAAATGAAACCATTCTGATCTGTAGTAGGTTGCTGTACATTGACACATCAGTGTGTTTTAGCTGAATAATCCTGCGTTATTTGTTCACAATAATAACACAATGGCCCTGATTTCTGTTTATCTTCGGCCTCTGAATTATAAAATCTATTGTGAAACTGGGAACGAACTTTTAATTTCAGTTAAATTATCAGTATGTCTTTGTTTCTAGTTATTGGACCTTCTGTAGCAGTATTAGTGGTTTAAAATTTTTCTGCGGTTAAGAAATCAGTATGATTTAATCCTATGTTGTTTCACAGAATTAAATTCTAAATATTTCTTCCAAACTTGTTCGAAGATGTGGAGCCTTTTTTATTCATCTGTTGTTTATATAGAGCAGATCAGAGGTCTGTCATGATGAGACACTGACTGTTGTCCAGTTTTATGCTTGTGCTATAAAAACGAGTAGTAAGAGTTAAGGATTATTTGTGTAAAACTCAGATCTATGAGCAACACAATTCTCGCATGAATAATAAAACCAGCTTAGATTCGTCCTTTTATTTCCTCTGGGAAAACAGGGTCAGTTTGTGAGAGCAGATAGATCAGACCCTCTCAAGAACTAGTTTTAATGCTAGCTGCTTAAATTATTTAGTCTTCCTGTAAAAGGAGTTCCTTCAGTACTTTGAAGGTGCACCTTTAGAGATTGGCATCATAGACTAAGCAAAAGGCGGGCAACATGGAGTAGTTTATGTAATTGTTCCAGTCCTTGCTATTTTCTTCATGAAATAGATATACTAGTCTTTAATGATAATTGTGTTTTGATCTCTCTGTTTCTCTGCTATTTTGGCAATACATGCTAACACTAGTTGCATTATTTTAACTAATACACAATACTGACTTGAAGTGCAGAATTTCTGATTGGTCAGAGTTAAAACGGTGAGGCCTTAATAATACTTTAAACCAGTGATTAAAGATCAAGAGTTTTTTTCTGTAGCTGAGGTTGAATTTTGCTATTTATTAGTGATTTATTAGGACAAAGGAAGGAGGGGGATAGAACTTTTAAACTTGATGTTATTGGTTGGTTTTATAATATTTTCTACCCTCACAGGAAAAAAAAAAATTAAAATGTCAAAAGGCATAAGTATGGAAGCTTTTAATTAGAAATTTTGTGATCAAAATGCACGCTTGTCCTAGTCATGGTGCTTCATGGTGCGGGGGGCAAAAAGCTATCTTTTAGTAAGGTACGTGGAACGATCCTTTTCCAGTAAGTGATAAACTTGAAAATTATGGTAAAGAGCTTGGGATTGTATTTAAAGACAGGGAGATTTTTATCTACCCTAGTTGCTCTGAGAGCAGCTCTTGAAGGATCTGTGGATGTAGAAGGGTGTGCGTACATGCATACTTGCATGCAGGGAGCATGTTGACTTTGCTATAAGTCAAATCTGCTTTACAGGTGGAATATTTCCTAGTTGCAGTCTATACTGCGCCGTATTGGACATTGCAAGTTCAGTTGTGTTCTTGTCACTTTGTAAAGAATAATAGGCTCACTAAGAATTGAGAAAAGTAAAAAGTAAAGGGCTGTCAAACTGCATACTTGCCAAATCTGAAAGTATGCGCGTTTTTTTAGCTTTAAGTATAGGTGTAGTAATTGAGTTGTTAACATGACTATTTCAAATTGCACTGGGAAAAATTGTGGGGAAAACTTGTGTTTCCTTTCATGATTATGTTAGTTCTTTTGGGGGGAGGTCTGGAGAAAGTAATATGTAGCTGTTGAAAATTCAAACTGCAGACACACTTAATGTATTAGGAAATACTATATTAAAGATTTTCTTACAATGTAACAGGTGTAATTCTTTTCTGTGGCACTTCTGAAATGTTTTTTTTCTCACGCAGAGGTCTTACAGATAGCTCTTCTGTAGGATTTTTGTATCAAGGATCTTGTATAGCTGTGTTTACTTAGAGAAGGTGTAACTTAGGAGATCTATTTATCATTAGGTTAAATTTGTACAAAACAGTGTGAGCAGTCCTATTAAGTAAGGGTGATGGGCTTTTTTTTTTTTAATTGAGTGGAGAGTTTGGGTGCTATAGAACT